CGGGATAAGGATTGAGGGGTGGAAAATACGCACAGTCCAGTAGGTTGGTTGTAGGCGCCCGTCACCGGGGTCTTGAGCTCAACGGACAAACCCATTGTGTGTGATTTTTGTGGAAAACAAGTACGAAACGTGGAAGGGTATTTGGTATCACGGAAGAAAGAAGAAAAAGTTTGGATTGGGATGGGATTGTGAGTTGAGAGTAGTGAGAAGTGAGAGAGGGAGGGAGAGAAACTGGAAAGACGAAGCTGGGGATCACAGACTGTATATAAAGCGGGGTCCGGGGGGGCACAGAGCAGCCAGAGCAGAGCAGAGCTGGGGGAGAGAAGTCCGAAAGTGATACGGTATACCGCGCGGCGCAAAGGCAGTGGAGGGGACGAAATGTCAGAGACCTAGAGACTGGAGTGTGAAGGGTCAAGGAGGCGAAGGCGATACCTTGCTCGACGACGGTGGGGCCCGGGGGGCAGGAGGGTGTACGGATGGAGGGGAAGACTCCAGACTCAGAGTAGGGTAGGTACTGCGTAAGGATGAGGGGAAGGGGAGACTGGAGTGTCTGCAAGATAGTAATCTAACACTAAAACCGAGGCCTGGTCTATCCGTACTTGGTACCGGAACCGCAGATTGGATGGGCATGGGATGAAAGGGAACGTGAGAGAAGCCCCCCATGGGCCGGAGCAACGTCAAACACGGTCATTCGGTGGACTGGACTGGACTTGAGATCTCCACACTGGGGGGCCAGACACGCATCTGCATGCTGTCAATGAACAGGGTTGGGGGGGGGGGGGGGTACTTCGTACCTACACCAGATATTGACAAGCTAGGGTGGACTCCCATACAGTAATCGATTTGTTAGTGTTGGAGGGGAGAAGGAGAAGGGGAGAAATGGAGGGGCAGCAACTTGCAAGGGATGGATGCAAGATGGGACCTCGAGCTAAGGTAAACGGGGAAAGGTGGGCGCCGCTTCGGGCCAACGCCTGGCTTTCCTTTCCTTTCCTATCCTTTGCTTTCCCTCGTTCCCTTTACGCCGGACGAGCAATACGCTATCCACCGGTGCGTTGCTGTGCTGTGCTGGCTGACAGCAGGTCTTCACTGGGACTCAGAGACTACCAGTAAGGTAGATCAAGACTGCCACTAGGTGATGCCTGTTCGACTCGGCCCAAGTTTACCAGAATGTCACCCAGGGGTGTGTGTCACTGTGGGTTCCGTTCGGTGGGAATTGAGTTCCGCGTTCCCATTCCCCGGGGCCCCAGGTTAGGAAGAAGAATCGCGAAACTGTCGTGATGATATCGGACTAGATGGCTCTGAGGTAAGTTGTGCTCGACCATATGTCTGTTGCCACCTTTTGATTTCTCTCTTCTTGCCTCTATACTGTGAATATCTACCATGCTTTGTTTGCTCTTGTTCTTGAGATACATATGAGAGGTTGCCACGCCCCAGAGCTACAAACCCCTCTCTCTCTCCGCTTCCCCTCTCTTGCAGTTTGTCGACCCCGCATTTTCTCCATCACAAGTTGCGTCTTCCATTGCGCAACCAACCAATCAGCACATTTCAAATTGCTGGTCTTGTCTTGATGCAGCAGCCACACCCGCTTCAAAGCGCTTCATCACACACACCAAACATCTTCTTTTTTGTCTCTCTACTAATGATTATTCCCCAGCTATTGAATCTGCCCGAGGGTCCTGCTTAGGATACTATGACAAATGGCATCACCTAGGGAACAGACGGGCTCTGCGCTGCAGCTACTCCTCGCCGATCCCTGCCGACTACCGTGCTACAGTGCAACTATGCTACTGTAGCTGAGCAGCTATCAAACACATCGGAATTCGAGCTCGGGACCAATGTGTCGTAGCCATGGCACGCTTAGAAATGCCGAATCAAAAGAAGTCTAACTACTATAACTCCGGATTCTTTCGGCATTAAGCCATCCTCCAAGAGATGATCAGACGATGAACTATTGGATGCCCGTTCCATCGTTTGCTCCCAGTTGTACTCCGTACATAGTATGTAAGCTCTGGATGGATGGGCGGAAGTTCGCCGGCGCGTGTTTTCAGATGCTTTCCGAGCGGGTTGCCTGCAGTCAGCAAGTTGAACTACACCCCCAACGTGCTGTGATACCCAAACCATTCCGTGACAATCGAGTCAGAATGACGGTCCCGTTCCAGCCCGGCATACGCAGCATGGGATAAGCAGTATGGGACGAAACACGATTCCTCACACTTCGACTTGGTCGTTGGGTGCCCCAGAACTTCCGCCTGGCATAACTGGCACCTTTCCCCTCCACCCCACCTTTTCATTCCCACCTTGACGACACACGCACGCGTTCTCTACAGACGTACCGCCGTACCGCCGTACCTTGCGTCGACTCGGTGGCTGGCCGTGAAATGTTGGGGCCCCGGGTCCCCGACCTGCCACCTTGAAGGTTACCGGTACGATTGAGATTACCTTTTTCTTTGGACTTCTCCATACCGGGCTCTGCACACTGGATACTGGGGCGCGGACATGGGATACCTAAACCCCCCGACCCACACTCATGTACATACATCTCCAAGTTTTTTCTTCACGGTGTCTTGGCTCGATCATCCGCGGCATCTTAACTCCTACACCTCCAAAGGGGGGCAGGGTAGCTCCGTCGTGCGGCGTTAAGCAATGACATTAGGTGTAGAGATAACGGGGCTCGAAATACTGAACATTCACTCGGGAGAAGACTGCGGTACTTAATTACCACGAGCTTTTGAGGTCTTAAAGACTGAAACTCCTCTTCTCTCGGGGTGTCTTTACTACCCATTCCCCGGGCCTCTCTGCTCGGTGCAAATGCAAGCGAGCCCTTCTGCTCAGAGATCCCCCGCACCGAAGAAACCCAAAAGGTGGATATAGATTTATTAGCTAAGCCCGCAAAAGGGTCTCAGGACAGCGGGATGGGAATTTTGCGGCGTTTGCAGAGTGATATATCGACATCCCCCGATATAGAACACACGCCCCCTTTTCCCTTCGTTGCCCCTCCATCGAATTCCTGCCGCGCCCCCGACCCGAATCCCCCTGTCGCACTTCCTTTGCTGCCTTCCTTGTCCCCGACATCATTCGACAGCGACGAACCCTCTTGGCCGAAGCGCTTGCTTGAGTGCTTTGCTGTTGGGGATTTTGTGGGGTGAGCTTTTCTTCGTCTCTTCGGTCTGATGGCAGTTTCACAGCGGCTACACGGAGCTTATTCATTGCCTTTTGTCTGTAATCGTACCCTGGCACATCTCTATAGCGTTTACTCCAGCTGAACGCGGGACCGCACATAGATCAGGTAACAACCCATCTATCAAAGTTTCTTGAATCGCATGTATCGTGTCAATAGCTATGAATCAACATAGGTAATCACGCAAAGTCAGCCCTCTGACCCTTGAGACGAAATAGGTCCCAAAATATGTCTTCAGCCCTGCACGTAACTGTATTCGTCCTACACTGCATAAACTACAGTCCCCAGTCTCTTATGTAACCACTCGCCCCCAAACTGGTCGGAATCACTCTTTCCACCCTCGGTTCCGACAACCATCAAAAACTCCCAAATTCGTTCCGAAGAGCAGTTGCCATTTCTGCATGCACCCAAAAGGAATTCCTTCGCGCGGAACCCGAACCGGGCCCCGGTGTCCGGAAGAGAAACTCGTTCCCCAACTTGCCAACGCCAAGAGCCGAGACATTCGAACCCCCTTCCCATCGTCCATGGGCCCCATCCCAAGTCCCGTGAGGCTGCGAACTCGCCCGCCGCCTCCGCCGCCGCCTTGCTTCACCTGTGCGGATCCGCACTTGCATTGCCCACAAGCGTCGGCCGCGATTTCTCATCGAGTTCTATTTTCTGGGGCTGCCGCTCCCAATTACACCCTTGCTCAAATTGTCAATGGTCCAAAGTTGCTAGGCGCCACTCACTTTATTCTCATCTCTTGGTCCAATAGACGCGGTGCGATCTGGTTCACTGTTTCTCTCGTTGGTGTTTTTTTGGGATTACCTCGGATGGTCCTAAGCTAAGCCGCCCTCCACAAGCCCGCCGGGCGGTGTTTTGGCCATCTGCTTGACCCCCGGACCCCCGCACTTTTGCGGCTCCTTTGGGATACGTAGAGTACCCCCGTGACCGCCGTCTGTTCCCTCTGTCCGTACGGGGCGGACGTGAGCTTATTGTGTCAGCTGTTGTTGGGTTCAACGACATGCTGGTTTGATGCCATAGAACGCCATTGATCCAGAGCAGCGTGATTCTCGCCAGTTTTGCTGAATGAACTGTGACATCTGTTGGCGTACCAAGCCCTGCGCTCGTGGTGTAAGTCAGCTATGCAGCCGGCCGGCCCCATCTGCGGGCATCTGCGGGGGACCCTTCCACAGAACCGCTCGCCCGGAGCCCGCCATATGAACTGAAGACAGTGTAATTGATTGATCTGTTAGCTGGAGCAATCCAGGAAGCTCATCTTCTCATACAATCTGATGATAATGGCTGCGTGACAATGACCGTGACGGCCGCCGTCCTTGCTCCAAGAACCATGGACGATAAGATCCAGACGCCGAGGCAGGATCCTCGCCAAGGGTTCACACCGTCAACGGCAAAGCAGCTTGAACTACAATGTCAGTTCAGGGGTCCTTTCTGAGCAGTTTGCCCAACGAATCAGGTTGAAGACAGGATGTTTGTTGTCTTCGGACACGCCCCCCGTAGGTAAGAGTACCGACATGCTGGCTCCCAAGGACTCAAGCGGCTCTCAGGTACCTTTTGTCTAGGAATCCTCGAAGCTTTGTAGCCAATGGAAAGTCATTCTGGTCGTTTTAATACTTGACATGGAATGCAACTCGCGAGTCCAGGTCACTTGGCGGAAGCTGGGGCTTGGTACTAAGTGGCGAGCAATGCTCTTCTGCCGCATCTCCTCTACCGCATCGAGTATCCGGACTGATTAGGTTGTTGAGCTCGAACTAAAAGTTGCGATGGATCGACATATATCAGAGTATAACTTTACGCTCATCGCACTAAGTGTTCTTCAGAGTCAGCTGTCGCGATTAGTGTCAGTGAACATTGTGGCCGTGAGAAGTGGCAGGATTTCCTATTCTGTGGTCGATTTGAGCAAGCCTTCCCTTGTAACCCCCAGCGTTATTGTCCATTAATATTGATGTTACATCCATTTCGGTTGCCATCCGTATTTCCTCCCCATGTTTGTGACTTGCAACTCACTGCTGATCGTCCTCGGCTAGCCCCTCGCCCGTCGGTGACAAAGCTATGGAAAGGATGTACCGAACCTTGAGCAGTCCAAAGTCTGGGAGATCTTCCTTCTTGGCCGCAGTAATGTCGAACTCATAGCCGTCCTCGACGGACTCACGTGTTTCAAAGTGGACCATGCGAAGAGACTTTCCAGACTGAGTGAGTCTCTCCCGAGAGACCATGCGGGGGTCCATGTCGATGCACACCACTTTGGCGTAGGACCCTCGGACAGATTCGAGCCTGCCAACACTATGATCCCTTTCCTGATCAAACACGGCTTTTCGGAGCCATCTAAGCCGGAGCCGGATGGAGCAGTCGGTTTATGAGATAGGCTCGAGGGCAATCCACGCCTTCGCCCACCATTTCGAGAGTATCTGGTTGAGGGAGATCATGTTCGCCAAAGAGAAGACGGTAGCCAGCGACTGTAAAACAGCGAGATACTTGCGAATCTCAAAGCCAAAAATGTCTCCCGAGTCTTTATGCAAGATATACTCCAACGAAGCAGCAGTTTGCGAAGTAGGAAAAGGAAGGACCAGACAAACCCTGGGGTCGGCAGACTTTGTGACAACGCAAGTGCTCTCGTCTTGGAGTGAAGAAGCGGACTGAGCAGATCAGTACCTGCACAAATATGCTTGTGGGCCGTGCGGAAACTTACAATAGCTTGTTTGATATCGCCTCTCGGATGGTCCTTTACTTCGACCGCGTTGAGGCCATCCTTGGGCTCGTAATGGTGAGCCGGAAGATAACCACGTTTGGGAAACACTATAATTCACCAGTGTTGGCTCGCTGATCTCTTGCAAGGTGTTTTGAGCAACTCACGCTCTCCAATCATCCTGGAAAGAAAAATAGCAGACTCTCCGAGGTAGCACATATCTGATTGTGAAGGATATCCATCGTCCGTACACTCTTCATCGTGGAATTTGCGAATGGCCTCCATCGGCGCCATCATGAGTGATGCCCACGCCAGTTTATCCACAACTTCAAAGTCTCTTCTATGATACTTGCAATAGGCCGAATGCGAACTGCGGCACCAAGACTTGGCGAGTTCAAGTCTTGCATCAATGTCGCTGAGATAAGAAATTTTGGGAAGGAGAGCATCCCTTAAAGCGTCGATGTGATCATGCTTGGTGTCCGGATGGTTCAGGTAACGCCTCAATATTCCTACCAGAACTTCTTTGCGCTTGCCTAGCAGCTTCTTGTCTGCTTCGGGATCCTCTTTGCTGATGCCCGAAGCACCATTTCTGGCCGACATGTCGAAATGCTTTCCGATGCTTCGTTAGGTAGATAGGTAGGCACCTTGATCACTCGCGAAGGAGGAGAAGGGACTGGAGTGTCAGCGGCAGGAGAAAGAACAAAAGTAGGTAGGTAGGTATCTTGTCTAATGAAACGAAACGATGCAAAATTGGGAGGCACGAGGTTCGAACTTGAATCACGCCTGGAGGAAAGAACGCCAGGCTGGTCTTTCATCACGATGAAGGAACGACCAAGTGAATGAAGCATCAATCATAGCATTGAAATGAGCTTCGTACCTGCTTAATTGAAGCTGACAGCCATCTGAGCCTGACTCCAGGCTCCAAACTGAGAGATGGAGTAAGACTCTTCGATGCTACTACCACCGACTACACGTACTGTACATCACGTCTCGAGTATGAGAATTATAGTCCATACTCTTGATGAACGCTCACTTTTCAAGAGAATGCTTGACATGATCACGTGTATCCAGCTGAGAAGGCTCGTCAAACTGTGAGAAGGAACTCATCCCTGGCGGTCGTGATTGGCAGAATGGGCCAGTGACATATCATGTTGATCCCCTGGTCATCAATCTCCAAGAACCCCAGACTGAAAGGGGTGAATCTGGGGAATGACGTCATGCGGGATGGCAGCAACATGATTGTCCCTTAAGAAAAGGTAGGTCCGTTGCTGTGTGACAGACTGTATGATTTGAGCATTTACAAAAGAAAGTATGCGATGAAAGACAAGGTATGTGGTTTACTATCCAGGTAGGGTGAGGCTTGAGTGGTTCTATTGGCCCATTCCTCTGAGGCAGAAAAGAATTCGACAACAGCCAACCTAGAAGGCTTTGAGCTTCCCGTCTCGAGAACGGAAAAAATTGAGGGGTTGGGATGGCCATCTGGATTCGGCGTGCAGGTGGACGCGGCTCCGAGGGGCAGGGGACAAGAAAAAAAAAATCGTTGCGATAAAGTGGCAGAGTGGAGACCGAACGCATGGACCAAGTTGCATTTTGATTGCGCTGGCCAATCAGTAGTCATTCTTTACTGGGAAGCAGCGGTGAATTTTTTTGAGAAATCGCTCCTTCCTGTGTATCGGGAGTGACATCTTCTTTGGGGCAGATTATAAGGGCATCGGCGCTCGGATTTTCTCCCAAAAAGTTTTTCCGTCTCAGTCCAAGAACCGTCAAGATCACGACTGACCCCCCGCCATTGAGCTGCACGGCGACCAGACTGACCCCAAAAAGCTGTCTCCGTGCTTCTCGATGCTCATGGAGGGCATTGAAGCTATTGCCGAGTCGGCTCAGGCCGCCAAGCCTGAGGCGCACTCGCCGACAGGTATGCGCTTGCCTTTCCCGCCATCCCACTAAGCAAAAGATCTTCACCCGGCCTCGAACCAACTTGCACGCACCCGAGGCACGTCTTCGCAAGCGTCGCAAACCAGGCTGACTTGCCGTAGTAGGACCAGAAATGAAACAGGAGTCCCCGACTGTCACCACCAATCTGGGCGAGACCCCTCAGTTCCCACTGAAGCGACCCCGCGATTCGAGCGCAGACGACCCCGAGGCCGAGTCCAAGAGGCTGAAAGTTGACGACGATCAACCACCCCAACAAACCCCGGAGCAACAATCACTTGAGAAATCACTTGAAAAATCACTCGAGCAATCACTCCAGGAATCACTCGAGAAGTCAATTGAGAAGTCGATCGAGAGATCACTCGAACAAGCATTCGAAGAATCTCAAGAGCCATCTCAAGCGCAATCCCAAGAGCAGCCCCAAGATCAACCCCAAGAGCAACCACAGGAGCAAACTCACGAGCAACCTCAGGAGGAGAATCACGACGACCATGCGGCTCTCGATCTCGGATTTGACATGGACGCCATGATCCAGGGTGTGATGATGGACATCAGCAACGAGATGAACAATGAGATAGGAAAGGTCGAGGGTCTGGACGGCGTCACGGATGTCGACATGACGGCAGATCACTTGGCGTCTGTGTCGCAAGACTCTGCCCCGTCAACTGACACACATGCCATTGTTCTCTCTGAGCCTTCGGCCTTGATGAGGCGCATCACCACCTCCTGTTTGTCAAACTTTGTACGTGGCGGTCTCGTCAGCTCTGGAGGCGCCGCTAATCATATCTCAATCTTCAGGCTATGCAACTTCTCGTAATCATGTCGCAGCATGTCTACCACGACGTTTATCAGCAGTTACAAGACAGAGAATCAGACCTCTGCAAGTCCTTCAGCACACTCAAGTCTCTGCTCCGGCAAACTCGATCGATTTACTCCACGACCGACCTTATCTTGGACCCCGCAGTGCTTGATCTGACTGCGCCGGATAACCTCACCGATATCCAAGTCGCCAACCTCGCCAGCTTCTGTTGCGAACTTTTCACCTTCGACGGCGAACACCAACTCGGCTCGAACGAGCTCTTGGCTCTGGAGGACAAATTTTTCACCGTCTTCCCGCCAGGCGCCGAGGGCATTTCGCACGATATCTCTGAGCTCTTCCTCGCAGTCAAGACACAACTAGTCATCGAGTCCGTGACATCAGCGAATCAGTCCGGGCCTGTTGACCAGTTGATCGCCCAGGCTTTCTCGTCCAGTCTGGAAGATAAGCTAAAGGCAAGACACGAAGGATCTGACTTGACTGCTGAAGAGAGAGCCCTGGTGACATCTGTGGAGGAGCGCAAAACGTCCCTGATTACTTACGCGTCAGGACTCCCAGATACTGGTAAGTTGTCGAGTGCAAAGGCTGATGGGGCCCATGACTGATACATTGAGTTAGTTCTACTGAAGATCGGCTACCCGGAGGAAGACTTATTTCACCAACTGAATGTGTACCTGCGCCAAAAGCTACAGTCGGTCTCTGGACTGGCCTCGAGGCACGGCATCGATCTTCCTCAGATTATGACAAACGGAGACCTCGACGCATCGATGCCACCCGATCTCGACGACCTCGGAATCTCATCATTACTGGAGGCTACAGATGGACTTGTTGCGCAATACCTCCCCAGTGAACCGGTCGATGGATTACCTACCGAACAACAGCCGCCAGTTCCGACGACTGAGAGCAGTGTCCCGCCCCCCGAACCACCTGCCCCTGCCCCTGAAGCCGCTCCCCCGGCGCCAACCACAAATGGTACCACAACTGAAACTCAAGACGCGACGAATGATATTCTCGCCCTTGTTGCACAGAGCACACAGGAGTACGTTCGAACTACTCTAAACAACCTGTCTCCAGCGCCCTATCAGCCAACCGTACCCACACCGACGGGCGCCGCTCCGGTTACGCAGACGACATACCTCTCACACCTGCAACAAACCCAGCAACAATCGCCATACTACGGATACCCGCCACCAGTGGAACAACCACCGCAGCCTACGGCTCATGAGAGTAACGAAAAGCTGCCTCCTAGTCAGAGCCTACCTAGTGCTGTGCTTTACGACAGGGCCCGCCAAGCTGCCTTGAGCAAGACCAATAACCAGCAGAGAAGGGAAGGCACCACTTCGACAAGACGCCCATGGACTCAAGAGGAGGAGAAGGCCCTCATGACTGGTCTCGACATGGTCCAGGGACCTCACTGGAGCCAAATTCTGTCTCTGTTTGGTGCAGAGGGCACTCTTTCCAACATACTGAAAGATCGAACGCAAGTCCAGCTCAAAGACAAGGCCCGCAACTTGAAGCTCTTCTTCCTCAAGACAAACTCCGAGATGCCGTATTATCTGCAAGCCGTCACAGGCGAGCTCAAGACAAGGGCACCTACACAAGCTGCCCGCAAGGAGGCTGAGGAGCGAGCTAGGATGAACTCAGAGGAGGAGCAAGCTCGGGTACAGGGTATCATGACACTTGCGGGCGGATTACAGCATCCTCAGCATCCCCACCACCCTCAACATGCACAACACCCGCAGCATCCACAGCATGTACAACACGCACAACATGTGCAGCACCTTCAACAAAATAGAGCAAGCGTGACACCAGCGACTGCACCGAGCACGCCGTCACAGTCTGCTGCCCAGGTCTCGCATCACATGGCCGCCCATGCGACGACACCGACGCATGCTGCTGCAGCAGGCCCGCCTGCCACGCCAGTACAAGCAACACCGAGCCATGCTAGAGTTTTGCCAGCTTCCTCACCGTATGCCGCAACCGCTGCTCAATTACAAACATCTCACAGCTTGCCACAAACTCAGCCACAAACGCCGACGCATTCCCACATCCAGCATCATTCTCACCCGGGAACGCCACAGCCGCAACACCATGCTCAACAGCCGCAGCACCAACCTCAACAGCAGCACATCCAGCCGCAGGTCTCTCAGGCTGCTGAGACTGCGCCCAATTACACGACCGATTCATCAGCTGCGGTCTACAGTCAAGAGACCGAAGATCTCAAGGAAGCCGCTCTTATGCAGAGTCTTAGGGAGCTTGAAGCATATAGCGAAAGCGCCAGCGCTAGCGTATCATAGAGTGACGACCTAATTATGGCTTCGTATCTTCATCAACCCGCCGTTATCAACGATTATCACCAGAATTACTACCACGACGGCATCCAGGACTTACAGTGAGGAAGGATCAGGTCTTGGAGAATTAGGCTTCACCTTGGGGATGGCTACTCTGACCGGGGGTGTTACTCGCGACACCACCATCCTACGCCTTACATTAGACCAAGGGTGTCGTCAACAAAAGCCGCCGGGGGTTTGTGTATAAGAGGGTTGTCAACCCGAGAGTCGATAATCTGACCACGAAAATCACTTGTTATATATGGGACGGCATGCTTTTCCGTCCACACTGAGCAGTTTCTGGAGTAGAAAAAAAAAGGGAGACGGGAGGGACCGGGACAGCAAGGCAAGAAGAAAAGAAAAAGGGGCGGCACCAAAAAGCGATTTTTTGTTTGCTCATGATACCACGATTGACCGAGAGGATTAAGGCGACGGTGGCGAGTTTTTCGCCCATATTTTTAGTACGCCCGGAACAGAGAATTGACTGCATAGCGAAAAAGGAATGAATACAGAGCAGGGTT